AAAACAACAAGTTGCTTTTTCTGTCTAACAACTCAAATTCACCTACTGCGAACAACTATTAGAAGTCATAAATGGCATACTTCAATTATACAGAATTCGAATTATTGACAAACATCGAAAAAGAAATCGATCTCGACTGCTGTCAAAATAGGTTGTTTCAAAGACATTCTCTGCGTACAAGCAACAAATTTCGTTGTAGAGCCGTTCAAAACGACCAGTTAAGCAGCATTTTAACTAATTGATAAAGACTGCCAGAAATTCGAACGAGACTGAGCGAAGCTAAGACGAGAGAAGGCTGTTCACAAAGCGATTAATCAATGCTCTCTGGATTGATGATCTCGTAGTACATGCTGAAATTATAAAACATGTTGGTCAATGCATTATTGAACACAGTAATTTGCAGGAAATAGATGCACTTGTTCTGGAATATTATGATAATGGGATTAAATTGTGGTTTTACTTGAATAAATCTTATAAGAGATTTATTATTGAGAGAAAAAAAGGATTATTGTAAAATATAATAGGACTTTGTTACCAAGCAAATGTCTAAATAGTCATTGGATACATTCATATTTTCAATCATTTACCGATTAAGTATGGATTGAAATGTGACTATTCTAAGCAGCTTTATATCAATTATTTATACGTCTAAAAAATGATTTCATCTGAGTTTGACATTTTTCCTAATTCACTTAACGGATCATGGTTTTTGATCCATGAAGAGTATCAGAAAAAATCTGAAAAATGCACATGGAGTTTGTTTTCTTACAATACTTTTGAAAGTCAACTTAGAATCGTCACATTGCAATCTTTTAGACATTAGGGGAGTAAAAAAAAGGGGCTTTTTCAAACATTTTTTCATCATATGGGATCAAGACGCACAGTATGAATTCTTGTAAGATCATCTATTTGCGTTTGAACTTGGCAAGTTTGCTTGTTTTCGTTCGATGTGTACGCACATCGTCTCGCAAATCGATGAATTTATGTGAAGAAGTATTTGGTGAGACATTTCTATTGCCATGAAGCTTGATAGTCTTGTTTACCGAGCGGCTCCAACGTACAGACAGTTTCTTTGACTCGCGCGAGATCTCACGACATTGTATGTCTTTGTAGAAGACACATGCCACTAGACAGGGATGTATCTTCGAACACATTTTGCTATTATGAACCACCAGCTGCTGGGCACGATTGCCGCTGTTCGTCCAGCGAGCATTCACTTTATGTCCGTCTTTATCAATATTTTTCGGATCAGCGTTTTGATAAGCGTAAGACCAATCAAATTTACATATACGCTTAGTCGTACTCCGTTTATGAACAACCTGTTTCCATTGTGCATAGGTAAGGTCTTCGCCTTTATTGCTAAGTATCCAAGGATCGAATTTGTAAATAAGCATAGCATGAAACCCATCGAATTCTGTGTTATGTGTATACAACCAATTGTAACAATCACTATAACTTGAATTCAGATAAAAAGCACCATGTGAGGCAAAGTCTGATGCATAAGAAGAAACTTGTGGGCCTGTTTCGATTATCTTCTGAGCCCGATCCCAGTTTGTTGCGTGGAACCAATAGAATTCCCCATTCTCAACGTTTAAACATTTTTTTTCCAAAAGAGCGAGTTCGATTTCGTCTTCAGTAATACCCATTGTGTGAACATTTGTTCTACTTTGATTTCGAATATAATATTTCTGTTGTGTAAGTGGTAGAAAATGGTCTGCTAGACACCATTGATCTTCGGCATAAGTTTCTACATTGCTATTCGGATATCCTTCATGCATGTAGAGTTTTGACGAATTTTGATCTGGCTTAATCTCTGTGCAATGACTGACACGTCTATGAATGTAAAAGGAAAGATTCTAAAGCATTTTAAAGTTATCATGGACTTTTCGTTGATGGAGATGATGATTTATATATGTTTAATGAGCATTTGAGATGAAGAGATCCCTATCTTATGTTCTCTTTTCTATTAAATCGAATTCTCCATCTGATTAGTATTTTGCTCATGTTTTATATCGATCTATACTATCTTTTTAAGTTGCTACCTATCATTTGAGAATTCCTAGGTTCAGATGAAAAAAGAAAAGTCAAGTCTTAAATTTGATTGCAATATGTTAACGTACTGTTCTTCGATCATTTCCATTGATGTGACTGAGACAGTCGGACGAGCATCTCCATCTGTGAGTCCACAGGATTTGAATTGTAACTGATCAAAATTTTCGATCAATGAATATAATTGGAAATCAAGTTTTTCATCAATATTGATATCATTCAGATGTTTGCTTGAAATTTCATCCGATGCATTTACGCCATTTAATGGGCTTTCTTCATCACTTGCAAAGTTATCATGAAGTGCGACGATCACCTGATGAAATTGGCTGTCTGGAGACAAAAACAAGAAACTCTACTTTTCGTTGTCGATTATAGAGATTCACCGTCGAAATTTTCTTTTGTTCAAGATTAGAAAAAAAAAATTCAAGTCAGGAAATACTTTTCAAACATTGTGACAATATTTATTCACAAGGTGATATCTTACGAATATTTAATATATTTCTATGCTTTACCATTAGGTTCTGCAAATCGCATCAGCGATGCTGATTTCGATTTTGAGACAAAGAGAATATTGTTTTTTCTTTTTATCGTTTCAGTAGAATAATAAACGTTACACAGTGACATCAGAACAATTTTAAAAAAAGTCATTTATAGTACTGATCAGCATGAACAATTTCTGTTGAATCTGATCGAAATATTGATTTATTCTGATCGTTTGTCGTCATGTAATCTCTTGTTCAATTGTATCCTTATTTGGTATGCTTCAGAACTTTATATGTTTTATCTCATTATGTTTAGACATGCGCCGATACCCATACTATCGATTATTGGATAAAAATTATGATTTTATTCTGAATTCAATCTCATTGCTTACAAGTATTTTATGAAGGAGGGTGGTTCAAAATGCAACTAGTCTTTATTCCAATATTATGTTTGCATGTTTCAATTCAGTTGTTGCTCGAATATGTCTTGCAAAAACTAAAGTTGAGAAAAAGCTATTGAAACAGATACTTTATTTTGAAATTGTTCTTCCATTACAAAAGACAAATACATCATTTATCAACTAGAAAATGTGTTTTTGCACGATTTATTCACAGCAGGAAGAAATAAAAAATTCATTAAAAGTTACCTCTGGTTCGTAAAGCTATACTTCATTGCATGTTGGTGAAATCATAAAAAAAGCGAACACATACAAAAATGAAAAAACTGCGAAAGAAAGTTTAAGGTAATCGAAAAAAATTGACATTGGGTTTGAGGATGACACTTTCATCGCTTAAATGGCTCTAGAATACCCTTAACCCTTTACCAGAAAGTAAAAATAAACAGTAAAATTTGGTTTTTTTCTACTTGTGATTTTGAGATCGGTGACCCATGTTCTCGAACAACTACTCTCTTTTAGTTAGAAGCACTCATTAATTGAATGCCAGTAAAAATGAGTGGATATTAACGACTAAATCCGGAGCAAATCAAGCTTGTTTTCAACTTCGGCTCATGAACAAAAACATCAGTTTCATTCAGGCAATACTCTAGAGCCTGTAGTTTTCGATCTCAGAATGTGAAATATAATAAAATTTTCAATTTAGTCAAAACGATATATTGAAGTAAAAGAGAATAATACTGATAGTTAGCATACTGCAAAGCTAGAACGATTGAAAGATGCCTGCTTAATGAGATCATCAAATTGAGTGCACTGCGAAATCAGGAGCACAAAACATCAGTAACTTACCATGGATTGATTGCATAGCGTGTTGTTTTTGTTTGAATTCTATCTTCTACAAGAAAATATTTCATTTTCCACTATATATATATATATGTGTGCTCTCATTGTTCTCTTTCTTTTTCATTTCTTTTTTCATTTTGCGTGCTTTTTAACTAAAATTTTTTGTTCTTTAGTGTTCTGTTTATTCACAAGCATTTCTTTCCATTAACTTGTGAAAGAAAAAGAAATTCAAGCCTTGATGTGAGCAGTTGAAGATCAGAAAAATATGAGCTTCCTAGGTAACAAGTCAAATAGTAGACCAATGAAATGATAGTGTCTTGCAAGAAGAACTTGTCTTGATTCTCGCTTGCGATTTTCTTGAAAATATTTTCTCGTTCTTGCGTTACTATTACTGTAATGTTTTCTGAATCACTATTAAGATTTTATTTGATTTGTTTAAAAAAAACTATCATTACCTAACACCAGTTTCCGCCAAGGTCGCAATTTCCGCAACGTGACATAGTCTTCAATAAAAACAGAAAAATTATCATTTGGAGTAGGGTGTGCGTGAGCGTATCGAGAAAGAGGGCGTAACATCCACACCAGAATGCACACACCAACACCGACACTCACACCCCACACTCACCCACACCCTTTTCAGTCGAGAGTACGAGCATCATATAGACCCTAATAATCTATGAATAACCTGAAAAGAGTTCCTGCTGCTAGCTTATTGCTGTCGAGATATTGTATTTCTATGGTATCATTAAGAACAACGCCGTGCCCCCCCCCCCTCCCCCTTCATGAACATCAGAAAAACTGAATTTAGACTTTCGACCTGGGTGTGAGGTGTGGGTGTTGATTTAAGCAACACTGACACTCACTCCCATGCACTCCCTTTCTATAAATATATGTCTTGGATATTATCGATTCAGAAAGAAATGCGTCTAGAAATCTATATGAATTTTTTCAGTATATCATCTTTTTACTTTTCGTCAATTACTTTCTAGTGTACTATGTAGAGTAAATGCAACCGAATTTGAACTGCACTGAACATAGTCAATATATTATTTTTCATGAAATTAGGTGATGCTAATAGTGACACTAAGAGAATTCACTTGACACTTACTTATATTTTTTTCCATTTAGTTGTCCATCCATATACAAAAATTGCGAAAACTTCGAGATAGAAAAAGTGATTTATACGTGAAATTTCAATGAAAAAAAAAGTCAAAGTTTAATATGCATTGAATTACTGTCCACATGATGCACAAAATGTAGCTGATGAATCTCTTTTTGGTGCACTACAATTAGAACAAAATCCTGCTAACGTAGAAAAATAGAGAGGTGGTGCATAGTTATATTGTCGTTCAAAAATCGATGTTGATTCAGGAGCAACTGGTTTCGATTGATATAATACCCTTCCTGGAGCAACAGAACGACCAATGTCAATCACTAACTAAAACAAATAAAAGAAAAGCTTATTAACAAAAATTTCCCAAAATTTTATCCCAATAGACTATGAATACAAGACTTGTACAACCATTTTGTCTGTCCAATGTTTATCTGATACCATGTAAAACAACACTTAATATAATAATCAACATTGACTTTTTTATATAAAAACACTGCGAACTTTCTTTTTTAACTTTCAGTAATATTCTTCGAAAAAAATAGCACTTCCGATATCCTATAAATGAACAATCTTTACATGATAATGAAGTCGATTATTACGAGGATATCCATATCCTTGAGACCAAACACTTGAAGTATCTAATCTCCAACTACATGGTATTGGTGATCTTGATGCATATTTCATTGATTCTTCAGCAATTACTTTTCGCATGCGTACTACACGTGGAAATTGTGTTATTAAACATCCAAAAGCGCAAAAGATCATTCCTATAATACCCAAACCAATTCCTACACCAATTAATACAGAACATCTATCATTATGAGAATTACTATTTGTTATTTCACCACTTAATACAGGAAATCCATCATAATGAGATTCGCTATGTTTTATTGCACCAACAATAATCAATATAACTCCACTCACTGTACTCAAACAAAAAACAATAGCCAGAATAAGTAAGCTTTTTTTCTGTGAAACGCTACGATTTATTTTATTAATTGATTCTTGAAATTCATTTTGACTAATAATACCATTTAGATGAATTGGATATGTTGAATCAAATTCAGCCTTTAAACATCCAGCTGAGATATAAAGAATAAACATTTTATAAAATAGAATAATAATCATTACTTACTTTGGAATATTGGTACACGAACTGAATTTGGCGTTTTCGGGAAACTAATCATTTTTAAGTGTCTGTGAATGAAACTATATCGAAATAAATTCATTAGGAGCAACAAACTTTAAAAAAAGAAAATAATTCGTTAAAACGATTGACTCCTTCGTCAGGAAACTTTTTTAAAAGAGATTTCTCTTATCAAAATGAAAGAAACAAGTCTCAATTGATTGAGTGTATTCTTATCGGTTCGTTTGTAATCTATATTGGAGATGCATCGATTGTTCTTTAATACATTCTTAAGCTTACAGTCATAAATGGCAAGAAATCAATGACAAAATTCCAACTCTTCAAATAATCGAATATCGTTGAAACTAAAATCGTTATTATGATGTTGTTAGACATGATTTTTCTGCTTTGAAGATCTAATAGGACATAATGTCTATGACATCATAGCGATGATAGAATTGTTGATAATCATATATCGAATAGTCGGATTTTGATTAGATGTTTTATTGTAGTTTCCGAAAGCTGTTTTCACCTTTCGCTTGATGGAAGTATAGTAGGTAATGAAGTTATAGGAAATTATCTTAAGTGGCATGTCGAGATATTGGGGAGGGGAGCACATTAGTCCTCATTATTATTGCTAACTTAAAAGTTTAGATTCTATTGAAAAATGATGTTAAAATGACCATCATAGTTGCGATTACTGCGTACACAGAGACGAGCATGGGTCGCAGCTTTTCGAGAGGTACTTCGCACTCCCACCACGCTACAACACTGAGATAAAAGATCAGTTAGGCGGAAAAAACCTGCTTCTCTCGTGTGATTGTTCAGACTGACTGTCTTAAGGTGTGGAATAAATAAAAGATGAATGAGATAATAATTACTGCACTAAAATTTTTGACTGTTTTATCCCAAAAAAATTTTTCTTTTACCCAAATGTTCTCCATGAATGACCACTTACATCATCGATATTTCTTATATCTCCTTTGCCTCTATTACCTCCTATACCCATATCAAAAGAAAGTGGAAGGAGCTTCCGAAAATTCTAATGAATTTCCTAGAAATTCCAATAAGGCATCATATGTCATTTGATGCTTACACAGATCTCTGTCAGTTTTTCTTAGATCGGAACGAATTTTCTCCAAAAGTATTCAGCAGTGAATCCTCTACAAAGTCCTACAGAAAATGACAGCACTGATATGAAAGAAAAAACTTATCATTATAATACTACGAGAATCTATCAATAATAACTTTCAAAATGTTTTCATTGTTACTGGCTCGCGTTTCTTGCTGGCATTGAAGCACTACGCAAAAGATTCTACGTAAAACATTTTATTTTTAAACAATTAGTCATTGTCTTTCATACTTTATCTTACTATTCTGCACATAAACTATTTACAGTAGTACTGTTTCAGAATGGTTCTAGCCTTGCATAGTATCATTTATTGGCATTTGCATAAACCAAACCCTTTGTTCAGGAGAAAATACTTGGATGAGTTGCCCGTATTTTTTCAAAACCTGGAAAAATATGGTAAAAAAAACAAGAACATTGTCGAAAATTCATGAAAACTAACATTTATTCTAGACTTTTGATCGAAGAATCCTAATGCGTATTCATAAAGTACAGCATTCAAAGCTCAACGAAAATGTTTGTTTTATTTGTCTCGATGGTTTGACACCATAAAGACTCAAAAAGATATTAAGCAAAAAAGCTAGGAAGTCAATGATATTAAGGCACCATTATTTTTTAGTACTATAAGTGTGCTATAGAACCACAGGGAAATTAAACTGCTTTACACTTATGGTCGTTCGGTCTACCTGAAAAATACACAACAAAATTTCAGAACTAAAAGTATTTCAACAAATTCGTCCTTTTTCAAATCTGCGTGCTCGTTTCTTTTTCTGAAGAATCTCTCATGATTCACATCTTCATCATAGAGTTTTGAATAACACAAGCACCAAACGACTCTATTGTGCTACTTCGTCATTATAGATTGAACATTTTTTGAATAATCCTAATCAAAGAGGCATCCTAGGAGGATGACTCGAATTTTGTTAATATCATAAAAACAGCTATTATGTAATTATAACTATTCGCTCTGATGACACTATCTTAAGCATATTCTTTGCAAAAACCCAGCTGAAGAGAACCCCTTCCATAACAATTTCCTGAAGCCCTTATTTTGTGTACAACATCATATCTAATCTTTAACCAGGTCAAACCTCTTCGAATGCCAAAAGAATACAATTCTGAACGGTTTTTTTGTACGTTTGAACTCACAAATGCATTCACAATTTTTACTACAAACGCTTCGTCAGAAAAGTGACTTTACGGTATTAGATATCTTCTATTCATTTCATAAAGAACTTCGAAAATTTTTTATCAGCAAGAAACTAATTACTATGATACGAAAATAATAACTACTATTCAATCTTTGGAGTACTACTTAAGGATAGACAAAGTCACTGGATACTGATAATGAAGAAGGCTTTCTGAACAGAATTCAATTTCAAGAGTTACGCTTACTCAATGTATGTATGTGGATTCTTGTTTGCTGACGACAAGAATAGTATTGTAATGTATCGACGTTGTTCTATGCAGTAGATAAAAGCAGTGTGTTGCTTATACAAACATCAGCAATTAAGTTTGACTTATACGCATTCATCTGATTACGTCAAATTACTCATGATCATATATTATTGAGATATCTGGTTTTTTCCCATGAAAAGATTATTTTTGTTTTGCTTGTTCTATCAATCATCGATCGAACACCTAACAGAACGGCAAGAGAAAATGAATCGAACGTCGGTAGAAGCGTGCGCTATATCATGTCTTCACTTGATTTTTTCTCACTGTTGTACAGGATAGATAAAATATTAAGGCTTCATAAGCAATGGTCAGCTGCTTTATACTGTTGATCCTGATAAAATAATGCTTTAAACGTCTCTTCTACGTACGATAGAAAATATTGGATTTTAACATTACTTTTGAAATCATTTCGTACCCATGGCCATGTTCCTCGCCAAAGATCGAGATTCGGATACAGTCTCGGTCTCAGCACCAATATTAGTGCTCGTCTAGGATCGTTTCCGATCCCCGCAGAAAACCGGAACTCAGTTTTAGTAATTGCTTTGGCCACTATATTCGTTCTAGTTCCCGTTACCGTCGCCGTGTATATCCTTGTGCTGATTACGATTCCTGTTCACATCATGGTTTTCGTTTATGTCGTAGTTCAGATTGCCATTTCGGTGTCAATCTCAGTGGAAAGTCAGCTTTAAGCACTACTCACACTCCCGGTCGCATAGTCAGTTACATTATCAACTTCAACGTTGATCCCAAGGACTATCTGGCCAGTTGGATGTGGGTGTGAGTGCGAGTGTAGGTGTTTTCATCATCACACTAGCAACCACGCTCCCATCAAATGTGGTAACCGACTAAGATGGTTACCAACTCAGATGATAATTAATGAGTTTGTTAATAAAATCATTAATTTAAAAAAAATTCAAAAAATATAGAATGAATTATATTTGGACCGATATTTTTTGGTCAAAAAAGTTAGTCGGCGATAATGGAATTCAGTGAAAGTAGAGTCGGCGAAAATGGACGTCGGCAAAAAAGAAATCCGACAAAAATTGAATAATTTCTCACACCCTAAGTCATGTTTGCTATTGATTTGATAATATTGCGTTGGGAAAAACTATTTTAGAAATTCGAGATTGTCGATGATTTTCGAATATTTTATATGGGTTGAGCTGTTGGCTTTGCTTTAAATTACGGTCTGTTTTTTTCTAAATCTTTACGAAAGTCTTTACAAATAATTCCTACATAATTTTTCTTTCACTTTCTAAGTTTTTATGGCTTAACCCATGTTGTATTTTATTCTTAATTGCATATTACTTTTTGGCTTATAAGTGGAATTAAAGTTTTAAATGAATTAGCTACAAATGTAAATAAAGAATCAATTTTGAAATTTAAAAACTCTTGATATATATACTCTGACTTTTCGAAAACATATAGATTGAGAAATCAAGTGTGATATTCTAACAATGTCTATGCAAATCGGACCATAGATTTTGAGTTTTCTTAATGTCATTTTTTAAAGAAACTCAACAATTCCTAGTCAACTTCATGTGAACAGTTCTAGAATATTGTTCTCTCTTTTCTATAATATATTTTCTAATGTATGATATAATTATACTACGGATGAACATATGAAAGTCAGATGAATGTGTCTTATAAACGTTTGAACATTCCAAATCAGTAAGTTATTTTATATGCACACCCTTTAAAGAGTCTTGTCCGATTGGGAATAGAATCATTCATATAAGATTGAATCAATCAGAAGAACAGTGTTGACAATGATTATTTTGTTCAAAGATGAATTTATCTGAAATTTCATTTCTTCAAAATAGATAATACGGTCTCTTAGAACATTCACAAACATGTTAAACAAGATCTATTTCTTTTTTGATAATTACTGAAGAATAATTCATTTTTTACTTTATTTCTTAATGTTAAAATTGATAATATGTAACTTACAAATAAAAATATTCTTTCTATTTAAGATTATTATTTGCATTCTGATAAACATTGAACAAACGCACAACAACAAAGAAGACATTCCATCGTTGTTGCACAGCATTGCATACATTCCAAGCAAAATGAACTAAATGAAGTGCTATTGTTATTCTCAATTAATGTTGCTTTTGTTTCATTTCCATTTTCATCGATAGATACTTGCGGAGATTGATTAGATGTTGTAAATGGGTTGGTAAATGAATTAGTTGGTTGTATTGTTGCAAAATTATATGGTGGTGGAGAAAGTAAATTTGATTTGTCTGAATTCATTTTTTTATCTTGATGACAAAAAGAAGAGATGTGCATGTATTTATGTTGTCTTGTTATATGTTAATAATGATGTCATTTTTTCTTATCTTGGTCAAAGTTGACTGAATGAAGAATATGACAAAAAAACTCGAAACACCACGTATATTATTCATTTGCACTTTTAAAATAAGATTTAATACGAATCATTTGCACGAAACGATTCTTAAATTTTTTCTTCTTTATAGTTTACTTACAAATCTAATAGATTCAATGCTCAATTCGTGTATAAAACAACTTGATTTTTTTTCTTCATCAGTTGTTGTTTATATGTGATTTACATATAGCTACTTAAATTTCTTGTTTATCTCAAAGGATAATATATTCAATAAAGTAATTAAAATATAAAGAAATAAATGACCAATATATTTCACTGGAAAAAAAATTATGAAATTTTAGTAATAAAAATTTTCTAATCCGATCCTTCTTCTCCATCTCGTAGCTAAAAGCTGACAATATAAACTTGATCAACTCTAACCAAAACTGATTGATTAGTCATTGCTACTATCAATAGAACAATTAGACTTACTTTTTGTTCATACATCTCCAATTATACGACACGTGCACAATTCACTTGTTGCTGATTTATACCATCCAGATGATTAAAACCTCTTTGAAAAGCTGAAACACTATCAAGAAAGCAGCATTCAGAATCATGACAAAGTTGAAATGCGAAGAGTAGCAATGTACTACTATTTATGCATAGACTTGACAATTATATGGTAATGTATTATCAAGTGCAGCTGCAAGTAAGTTATCAACGAACCATATTAACAAATGAATTTAGATCTCTGGTAGTATTCGGTAAGAAAAATAAACATGATTCTAGAAAGGAGATAGAAAATGGATACTTTATCGCTTATACGTGTAAATAACGAAGCAAATAATTGTATTGTAGTCATTTTTGTTGTTCCTCGATTCTGTCGCATTTTCTCAGTATCTTTCACTTATGATTCCAAGAAAACAAACTGCTATATGATTCTTTTATTGAAATTGTTAATTCATATATTCAATGCTGACTAATTTACATACAACACAAGTTTACATAAGATAGAAAACGAGATGAAGACATTAGCAGAAGGTTGATAGCATTATTGGCACAGTTATTCTTTTTCTGCTCCTTTAACAATATGCGTTGTGTTTCGTCGACTCTAGATTGACTAATCATTGAATACAAAATACATAACATTATACATAGATTTTTACAGAATAATATTTTTCTAAAAACATGTTTTGAAAACTTTTAATTTTTCTTGTATTGGCAAACACCAGGAAATGCCTCGAATCCGAATTGAACACTGAATACTTATCATTGGTCTTATCAATTGGATGATAAATAATCGAGCATTAAATTTCAAGTCATCAGATGATCGATGACATGACTATGATGAATGATTGATAGATTGCAAGAAATGCACATCTCACTGACTCAATCTAAGTGTGGAACTACTAATAAGAAACAAGTTCAAATTACTGATCAAATGTGTTTTCATTCAAAAAATTTGAAAATAAATGAATTCTGATGCAGTCAATAAATAGTATTTTGATTCCTGCATCGCATGAACTCTAACTATACTTGCGAATCAAACAACGTTGAAATATTGTTTTATTTCTAGTGAGAATCGATTCGTCTTCTTGAAACAGACAAAAGCGACGATATTTGATTTCAGAATGATCATGACGTTGACAAGAATTCTTTCATGAAGAAAAGCTTTTCTGGAATGTCGATCAACTTGTACATGATACGCATTCACATACATTCGTTGTCAATACGTCGCTGTCAATAAATGAAGTAACAAGTGTGGCATGTGAGAAGCAGACCAATGAACTTATGTCAGTGGTGACTTGAGCACCTTTTTAATCTTTCCAACCTGTTATGAAATATTTTGGTAGGGCATTTTGCCATATATCCCACATCTGATGAGCACTAAATTGTGAGCAAACATAATCTTCAAAAAAGCTGAATTTTAGTCTCTTTGTGTAAATTTTTTTTTCTACCAAGTAGAATCAGTTTTAACAAGGAAGGAGAGACAAATGTAGAATGAGAAAAGAATTGATGAAATATGAGAATTCTCTGATGTCGATAATCTTGGGTTTGTGTATTTGATGGACGCGTGTAGTTTGTGTAGACTAAAATGAAATAATATTAGTAATTTCACAATCATAAATGTTCGAAATAAGATAGAAGATAAAAGTTACACACAATAAAATAAATATGGAAAATGCATACTCATCAAAACAAGAGAAAAACAGAGTTCATGACTTCGACATCTTTGAAGTCAAACTATTTCCTTCCATTGACGTGATATCAAGATATTTTCTTGAAAGAGGCATTATTGGAATACCTCTTATGGTGACAACATATCTGATTCTAGTATTGATCCATTCAAATATTGTTCAGATTCTTATGACAAAATATACAGACATTCAACGTGAATGCCGACCACAAAAAGGACGAACTCTTCGAACAAAGATTTAAATATTCTATTCAAATTATTGTTTCCATGGAAGAAAAAAAAACTCGCCATCCGTATGACTTTGGACGATCAAATAATAGCGAATGGCCCACACGATCTCAATCAAGTTTTCGCCCATTTATACATCAATAGTCTGTCAGTTATTTTATTTTTTCCCTACAACATTTTATAATGTGCTTTGACATTGGTAAAGCACAAGTGATATATAATTCAACGTTTTTATACTTTATTCAAACGGTCGTATTTGTTTTTTAATGACGAAATAACGTAGATTTACTTGATGATAATCGACTTTGTTATCAAACCTATGGAGCAGAGGACAGCAAAAAAATAACATTGTCAGTATTCTTTTAAAATTTCATCAAAAAGAAAAATGTTGCTGAAGTCGTTTTTCATATTAATTCTACTACAAAGTGTTGCATCCTTGAAATGTAACAAGTGCAATTATGGTAATACACTTAATTACACCATTACTGTCAATTCAGTTCCACCGATGCCATCCAACTGTACACTTGTTGATGCATTACATGAGTGCTCTATTGAGATTCATTGGTTGAAAACACCAATACAAAGCTCGGTAAGATACGATGTGAACTCATTGATTGTTCCATCATCCTACTATCATGTTTTCATGAGTCTTGAGCATCGAGCACGTGGATATGCGGCGCAACAGGACATTCATACTCTTATCTTTGCTTGTAATACAGATGGATGCAACAATGATACAATATTAAAACGAATTATCAATGCCTTAACTTTAACAGAAAATTTGAGTGAATTAGAATCGCTTCTTGCACCAGGATATTATCCATCATTCACCGAACAGGAGTCATGTTTGAATGTTTCTAACGCAACAACAACCACTAATCAATGTATATCAGGCGCATCTTCTATATCCAACTGTGTCGGTTGCCAAATTCAAATGAAATCAAATATACTTTGTGCTCAATGTGCTCCGAGATTTTCCATAAGAATAGATGACTATATTTTACGAAGTAAAGTGTTTTTCTTTGACAATCGTACAGAAATTGAAAATATCGAACTTTTTTGCCGTGTCAGAGGTTGTAATGCATTGAGTAGTATTGACAAAATCCGTCAAGCAAGTACACTCGAATTTAATTTTGATAAATTTCTCAATGGTCCTTCTCCTTCGTCTTCTGGTCATGTTCTTCAAACAATCTATCTTCACCTTATGGCATTCATCATTATTATCGGACAGGAATTTCATCTACACAATTTGGTCATGTAATTGAACAGACTTCTTTTACGGAAAATAAAATGCCTATTTTTCTGTTTTCTATCCTAGTGAGTTAATGATAACAAGTATGTATTTTTACCACTAACAACATCAGATAACATTTTTTATAACTATATGAATGTGACTTTATTCTGATTAGGTTGAATTTAAGACAATCGTTAAAAATCTCTACTTAGTAGATTTGAAAGCACTGTTCAATGTCAGTACCAAAAACTTTGCAATTTAGCTCGACGATAATCGGCTGTGCACTCTTCGCCATTTGGGTGTTGAGCAGCGCAGAAAAATTCTAAGTTTTACTAGCAATAAGTTATCCATAAGTCATATAGAGTGCCTGACGCATTTTCTATAATAGAATTGATCTTTCAACACGTAATCCTGCCATCGAAATATAAATAACCTGCTGGACAATCTTCCTTTGGAAACGTATCTCGGCAACATACTAATATATCATGATTGCAAAAAATTCCGATGGGCTCACGCTTATGATTGGTCTTCATACTATAACCAATCTATGTCGTCTGTAAGGAATTATTAACTTTTGACAACATTATATTTATAGGTATATAAACAAATGCCCATTTCTTATATTGATTATCTTGGACACTGCCACAGAATATACGAGTAGCAACTCCATTACCGTCTATATTTGTTGGTTCAAAATAACTACATAAAGTTCCTTGTGGTAGAACATCATCAGTCCATTCTGAATAGTCTATAACTAGAAAAAATTTCATTTAGTCGTGTTTTTCATGAAATATGCATATAAATTATAAACACCAACAGCGCAGTTTTCAAAGATATCCTAAACGATCGTGGTGATCAATTGACTTTCTGAAAAACTAGTAAACAGACACTTTTCATCTAGCACTATCTGTCTTTTATATACTGAAAACATTTTTGATACTATAGAAAAATTACAGATGAAGTTGCCGTGACAATGACATAATCTCATACGAAATCCGTCTGCTGAGATGCACATGCCATGATCAGTTCCACTACAATTATTATAACAGAATATAGGTTGTCGATTATATGTTTTCAATATATCTTCAATTAACACCACCTTTGCTGACAATGCCAGGATCATCCAGAAATCGAGCCGGTTTCAGCTGATCAACTATATATTTGATATTAAATTTTGCAATAACTGAATTTTTTAACATAGTTTTCATTCATTCATGAACATCTGTCACATTTGGAACCTCACCTAAACGAGTGAAATGTTCACTCTGTATTTTACTACCAAAAAGATCTTGCTCTGTGTTGTTAAAATCTGATTTGGTCTTTATATTCGATTGCAAAGACAAAGCGTAGATTTGCTTCAGCTTTGCCATTGATTCCATTTAATTTAAGTTGATCGATATCTTTTGATTTAATAACCGCGAAAGTTTGTATTTGGCCACGTAACATTAATTCAGTTGCGTAAGCAAAGTCGAAATAAGCAATAATAAAACTAGATATATAGTCTTGTGCTATAGGTTGGAATGAAGATAACTTAGTGAAGCCTACTATAATTGCAGATTATATGCAAAGCTCGTCTTATGTGAACTCTCTAGCACAGACTGATCATTGTTTCGCACTCTGATTCTTGGTATTATGAACGCGTCCGCCTGTTGTACAAGCTAGGAACGCACTTGGGCATGCAGTTTCTGATAGTTTTACACAGAATCACCGACATAAAAATTCATAGCAAGTATCAATGAGAATAAGAGTAAACGCATTGATGTTTGTTGATTTCTAAACTGACTTGTGTAATATGTTTCAACTGAAATATATAGTACCAAACTTCAATGTGTGTCAGTTCCCAAACAGATCAATAGTGTTATGCAATTAATATCGGGTTAGTTCTAAACCCCACTCTGCGAAGTACGATATGAAACTCATGACAGAAGACTCAGGTCTTATAATGCTTCGTTCATCCAAATCTTTTTAAATTTATTTTTCTAACTTCCTATCAAGAAGAACGTCCAGGTAGAGTAAGAAGCAGAAGCTCGTATACTTCTGGACGTCTAGATGCTTGCTGTAAATATTTTTGTTCTTTATATTTATTCAACGGCTGAATCAGATTAAATAGTCAATTTTTATCGATTATATTCTACTCAACAGTTTAGTTTTATTTTCAAAACAAAATGTACTGTTGAAAACAGCAAGTAAAGCTCCAAATTTGATGCAGAAGACTAATTTCAAATGAGGTTATTTGTGTTCGAAAATTCCGAAAATATGACATGTACAAATAATAACCATGCTGGCTTGTACATTAGTTAGAAAATTCTTTCGTATCTTTTCATTTTTTTGTTGTGAAATTCGATCTGTTGAATATTAGGTGAATACTAAGATTATAGAGTAGTGTCAC